CCTGATATTGCCTTTGTGGTTAGTAAGCTAAGTAGATATACTAGCAACCCCGATGATGAACACTGGAAGGCAATAATACGGGTTTTGAGGTATTTACGTAAAACCCAAAACCTTGGACTGCACTATGGAAGATATCCAGCTGTACTTGAAGGCTATAGCGACGCTAGTTGGATATCCGACATAAAGGACTCTAAGTCCACAAGTGGATATGTTTTAACTTTGGGAGGTGCAGCCGTGTCGTGGAAATCCTCGAAACAAATGTTAATAGCTAGATCCACGATGGAATCTGAGCTAATAGCCTTGGATAAGTGCACTGAAGAGGCTGAATGGCTACGCCATTTTCTCGAGGATATTCCAAGTTGGGAGAAGCATGTCCCTCCAATATGCATACATTGCGATTGTCAAGCGACAATTGGAAGGGCACAGAGCAATCTCTACAATGGTAAGTCTAGACACGTTCGTCGTAGACATAACACCATTAAACAACTCCTCACAACGGGTGTTATCACTGTTGACTACGTGAAGTCAAAGGATAACATAGCGGATCCGCTAACCAAGGCATTGGATAGAGAATTGTTGGAGAAGTTGTCACGAGGAATGGGACTAAAGCCCGTGAATTGAAAAGTTCTATAGTGGATACCCAACCTAGTTGGTCCTAGGTTCAAAAGGGACAACTAAATTATAGAGCGAAGGATGGTCACTGTGGGGGTCCCAGACTCCTAACCACTCCTCGTTAAAAACAGTGACTCCCGCACGAGGTTAGCAAAAACGTTTGCTTTAATGATTCTAAAATGTTGATCTACTCGATAACATTGGAAGAGTATGCGGGATACTCGTGAAAGAATCACCTATGTGAGAGAGAAGAGGGCCGCTTCGAAGGAGAACTGTAAAGGCTCAGTTCTTTAGAAACTCTTGCAGAACCAGGACGGTGACCCATGGCCAAAACGGGCACACCCATGAGAACGGAACAAAGTTGGAAGGTTCTTGTGTAAAGATAAGTCAATGTTTACACGACGGCAGTATAGTTCAAGGACATCGAGTCTACTAGACAGCCAGTAAATAAACGTGTCTTTACAACGGAAGGTTCAAAGGATAAAACCTACCTCTCCGTATGCAAGGATCATCCGGTGAACACAACGTGTCCTCCTATCTTCGTGTCTTTTTAAGTCTCGAAAATCAATTTTCATTCATGTGGGGGATTGTTGGAAAAATGTGTTAAAAATTGCATTAAATGGTCATTTTGGGGCAATTATTTGAGTGGGGTCCACTTCCGATTTGGGTCGGGTCAAAGTGGTTTCGGATTTTCCTTGTTAAGGGCTACAATTCGATATATGGTACGCTCAAAACGAATAACGGGTGAATGAGAAATTGATTCTCGAAGTTCGCTCGTTGTAATGGAAAAACTGGGAAAATGATGAGTTTCTAGTGTGTTTTATCCCACACCGAAAAACTCAAGGGATTTTCACCCCCTTTTAAAGGGAAGCCTCTTTTAAGGAGTTAAGATTCCTAAAGGGAAAGGCTCTCTCTTACGCGCAGGGGGGGGGTGCCGATCAAATCCCGAAACGGAGAAGAAAAACCGCGACTCGTGTGCGCGGGCGACCTGCGGACACGAATGCCGTCCAAAAATCTATTTCGGACAGAAACCCTCCAAGGGAGTTCTGTTGGCCTCGAACAGAAACCCTCCAAGGGGGTTCTGTTGGCTTCGGACAGAAGGCCTCGAACAGAAACCCTCCAAGGGGAGTTCTGTTGGCTACGGACAGAACCCCTCCGAGGGGTGTTCTGTTGGCTTCAGACAGAACCCCTCCAAGGGGTGTTCTGTTGGGGTCTTCTGTCACGCATTTCTTCCGTTACAACTATTAATGCCCAACGTTCTTCTCTTTTAATGCAGCGTTAAATGGACAGTTTATGGACGATTCAATGCCCAACGGACTGGTCATTGATGTCCAACGTTCAGGTCCATTAACACCCCATTTAACTCACAACAAATCCTCCTATAAATAGCTGGCAGGTGCTTTGCAACAGACACACGGTTTGACAACGCACATCACTTTCCTCACGTTTTCTTGAGCTAAAAACTCTTCCAGCTATTCCCAAAAATTCCTCTGTGTTCATACTCAGTTCTCGTTTTGCTGGAACTCTTGTTTGTGTGCTCAAACATTAGTTCGTAGTCATCGTATCCTGGGAAACGATTGTTGCAACGCTCCTAGCACCGTGGGAGGCAACAAATACGTTTTAAGGAAATCGTGCGTAGCACGAGCTTTGGCTAATTCTGCTTCATCTCCTTTCTTGGTTTTTCTCTAGTCATTTTATTTAATTAATTTATTTTAATTAATTTTCTTTATTTTCCGAAACACACCCAACAGGTATGATACGTTCATATGTGGAATCCACCCATACGTAAACCTAGCAAAACTTCAACTAGAGAGAGCATCAACCAGGGGCGACTACTCTTGCTACTAGTGACGTGACCGTGGGGTAAAGCTGCTCCGACTTCGGCGTCAACAACAGGTTCCCACTTCGTACCTTCATTGCCGGACAACGTCGAGCGAGCAGAGTGGTATGCCGGTGTTTGAGATTTCAGAGCGGTATGACGTCGTTCGATAGAGGGTAGCAGTATGATGGCGTCGACGTAATTGTCCAGTGGCATCGATGTAGTTGTCCAATGGCGTCCGTCCAGAGGAGCGATTTACGCCAGCTCAGCAATTTGAGCCACCATTGCCGCAGGTGGAGCCTAGTCGCCAACGCGAGGCCATCAATTTGAGTCACCTTTTAGCGTCGGTAAGCTTGTTTATATTATTACATTATCATTTAAATTTGGTGAAATTCATACCAATAATACGTACTTTTGGTGGTTTTATAATAATAATCTCTACTGAAAAAGTCAATACAAATAATCCAAACTCGTAAATGCGTCTACATAGATAAATTAAAGCTTCATAGATAGATTATTATCCTTCAAGAAAAATAATAATAGTAATGATATAAAAAACACTAGACTCAAATTTATGACAATGGTGAACAAAGTCAATATTGAATCCTTCTATATAAAATATCAAAAAGATTAAGTTAATCTATCTATGTAGACGTGTTTATGAGTATGGATTATTTATATAAACATCTTCGGTAAGAATTATTATTGTAGAACCGCTAAAAGTATGGATTATTGGTATGAATTTCGCTTTTAAATTTGACATTGCATATATGGTGTTTGATAAAATGCTTCATAGTAAATTTATTGACTATATAGTTGCTCCTCTTTCATCTTTTTCATGGATTTCTCCCCAGGGGTAATTTTTCAGTGAAGTGAGTCAACTTACAGTCGTCTCTCCAAAACTCTATTGATGGCCTCATCAACACAACATTATACATCAACTTTCTGTCCAGTGTAACTCCTTTCATTTTTTTTGTTTATTCTTGGTGTTAGTGTGTGAACAGTTAACATTTTCTTTCCTGTAGGAATGCTAGTATATTTGTAAAATCTTTTGCATAATGGATCTATATTGTTTGGAGTGAATATGTGCATTATTAAATTATAATTACATTCTTTCAATGTTCCTCTTGAGTTAATTAGCGGCCAACTAGTCTTGCAATGCATATGTATGATGTGGAAAAAACTATGCAACCAATAAAATATTAAAAGGTGGTTGCATATGAATCTCATATGTTTAGTTTGAATGAATTTTTTGGTGCAAGGTTATACTTTGATGTAATTTAATTATTCATGTACAAACATAATGCAACTAAGGATCTGGAACTTGGAATTACATCGTTTTATGTCAATTGTTATTATTCCTTTAGGTTCTCTATGAGCTTATATTTAATGTAACTTCCTTCCTCAAGAATGCAGCTGGCTACCTTGCAGATCTTGGTGGCCTTTATTATATCAGCATTGTTATCTTCTTTCTTCATCCTAGCACAAGTATTTTTTTCATTCAATTCTGCAATAACATGTTTTTTTGTTTGCACTTTATGAAATGTGTTGAACAAGTTGGTTATTTATTTAGATAGAACTGTTTGTAATTGAACCACGAATGTCATTTGTTGTGTATATAGTTGCCATGCTAGAATTCAGCCACCAATTGGCTGAATTCTATTTCACACGGGGGAAGACTGTAAGTTACGATAATGGATTTGATGGATCTAGAGTTCTAAATTCCTAATGTATTTAATACTTGGATAATGGATATACAATACATAATGATTAATTTGAGCTTTGAAGTAGAGTACAATGTATATTAGGAATGTGCACTTTTGCACAATTGGATTGACGTCATTCGTCTTGTTTCTAGGATTCTCAAGTTCTCAGTGTTTCTTCTATCTAAATATATTAAAGTTAATTTCATCCCTTCTATCTCTTTTGCTATAACGCTACACACGGGCAAACCTGATATCATCTCTTTGTTAAATTGGATCGCTCAATTACTTTTTTATTTTATTTTATTTTTAATTTTTTATTTTTTTAATAGGGGGCAATTTTCTTTTTTAATTGGGGGCAAATTTCAGGTCTTATTAATTTTTCTAATGGACACTAAGGAAAAATTGGTTCTTTATTGGGGGCAGCTACCCCCCCCCCCCCCCACTAATTACTATGTGTATCCGCCCCTGGGAAGCGATGACCTATTAAGTGATGAAAACAAATATGTCTATCTTTGTTATTATTCGAAGCATATTAGTTGAATGGTTTGTTAGAAGACATTTGTTTACCTAGCTTTAAGTCATCATCTCATATAAATTTTAAATGATATACACTTTTAACATTGTGTTAATCATATATTACTTCGTTGACATATGCACTTTAAATCAATGTGTACACATGCAGCTGATCAACACTTACCAATTGAATTTCACGATCACTGGAGACCTATTGGGCCAAACCATGAGAAGTACACTAGTTACTTGGCATTACTTGGGCGTAGTAGGGCCAGTATCTTACGTGAAGATTGGCCGGATGTAGAGGAAGCTATGAAAAATCAGATTTGACATGAGCTTACGGTATTCAAAAATAAGCCAAATAGACAATTCAAAGATATTATTGATGCGTAAGTATTTTGTACATTCTGTTTTATTTAATTTTGGAATATATATTGCATATCTTAATTACATAAATAATTTATTATATATATATATATATTTAATATTATAAATTACATAGTGCAATGGAGGCGAGTAGTAGGCTCAACTCAAGAAAGGGAAGAGTGAAACGGATTATTCCTATGGTAAATACTTACTACATTACTTTGTATGTTATTTTTACTTTCATTTGTGTAGCACCAAGTCGAATACCGTAATTCCTGATTTGTAATTATGTTGTTCTAACTTGTAGTCTCGAATGCAAGTTGGGAGTTATGAATGTGGTTATTATGCGGTGTTGCATATGTTGAATATTGTTTCGGCGATAATTCTTGAAATGTGGGATGAGGTACATTATTATTTTATTTACATTCAATATGTTTGTTCCATGTAATGTTTTATAGTAGTAACCTTCTTATTTAATTTGTAGCGATTCGCCAATCTTGAACCATTCTCATCAGAAGAGATTGATGAAGTACGAACTTGTTGGGCATCATATTTCTTAGAAATGACGCAATCCATCAACGACACATGATGAATGTGTTTGTTTAAGTTTTTGAGTGATGATGAGACTTGTAACTTTATATAATGTGTTATTACTCTAGACTTGTGCAAGGATTGTTTTATTTTAGCTTATTATTATTATTATTATTATTATTATTATTTACTAAGTTGTTATTTGAACTTGTTGAAGATTTGTGGAAGAATTTTCAAATAGCTTGTGTTATTGTTTTAGACGGATCAAGTGAACAGGTGAAAAGTTATGCTATAGCAGTTGAGGATACTTTTAATGATGTGATTATAGTATAAACGGGGGGTCATATTGCAATTTTTTTCTTGAAAAATACCGAAAAAATTGAAGCTTTTCACATCAGTTATAAAATAACCGATGTGATTGCTTTTCTACATGGGTTAAAACCGATGTGAAACACATATGTTCCGGAAAAAATGAAGTTTTTCACATCGGTTGATGAAATGACCGAAGTAAAATCTTTTCTACATGGGTTATAACCGATGTGAAAAACCTATGCTCCGGAAAAAATTGAAACTTTTCTTCGTCGATTTCATCTAAATCTTTTCTACATGGGTTATAACCGATGTGAAATATCATTTAAATCGCCGTTTTTGACTATCTTCTAGATCGGGCACTGAACGACCGATGTAGAAAGAATTTCCACACCGGTTCATTGACTGATGTGAAAAGTCTCTACTTTTCACATGAGCTGGAACCACATTGGCTGTTTGACCGGTGTGAAAAGCCTTTTTGACTGATGTGAAAAGCCTTTTTTGTACTAGTGGGTAAAAGAAGTATGGGGAAATAGTGACAAGTAATCAAGCTTTTTTCTTGCGCTTCATATCAACAGGTGATGACGCATGAGTGTGGGAGCTTCATCTTTGATGAAGGTGGAGTTGGTGTATTAATGTTGGTTGCACCAATATAGTGAGATGCATCATGGAAGTATGTGATGGTGTATGAGGGGCCTGACTTGGTTTGATAGATACTTGTTTGTGACCTCAGTTGTGACAAAGAAGGCCCAGCCTTCTTTGTCCAAACGCTTGTTTGCATATTGAAACGATGTCTTTTTTCCCTTCATAATTTATAAAGAGGAGTCAACATGTTATGCATTGTGAAATTATAATAAATCATGTATATAAATTAAAAAGTGTAAATTAGTGTGGGTTGGCAACTTGTCTATCAGTAGTTCCACTTTCATAACTTGTTTGCTATTAATGAGTAGTAGTTTCTCGGCGCATTGCCCAAAAACTGAGGTGACAATTGTTGAAGTAGAATCGGTGATTGAGACATTCATTTTGGACCAAATATAATTTCATAAAAATACAAGAATTGTCATCTGAGTGTTGTTTACTTTTTTATCTTAGAACAAGTTGACCATATACTTCATGAGAAACTTTGATATCTCAGCTTGGAGTACCAATTGCATCCTCGTTATCACAATGCAGGCAAAAAACCGGGTATCACAATATGCATAAACTGTTTTTAGACGATTCCTACAACTCATATACCAATGGTTGTCACCTTCGAGCTGCAAATTGATTCTGCCGTGAATTCATACGGGGTTCGTCTGCAACTTGTCGAGTAGTCATTGTTATGATGAAACTATGTATTGCTATTACGTAGTATTAGTTATTTAATTTGTTTTAAGTTTTGTAGAGTATACCAGATTGATGGATGAAAGTACATAAGATATTTATGAAATTTCTTCAACCACTAGAATTGCAATGTTAATTGCCGCGTTTTTGTATTCATGACATGTCTTTAACGCATCAAGAGTGAGATGAGTGTCAATCGCCCTGCATAAAGGAATGTTGAAGAATTTGTTAATGTAGGAACATATTGAATGAATTGGTACAAGGTTGTGTATATTTATATGTTTCTGGTTATTTGAATGAATCACTAAAACATTTTTAGGGGTTACTGGTTAGTACCATTATCATCTAGTTGTATAAGAAAAATTCTTTAGGTACACCCAGGGGTACACCCTATATAACCCCTCATTTTTTATATAATTTCCTCTCTTCCCACTTTTTTCTCTCCCCTCCCTCCCCACTCTCTTCTCTCCCCTTCTCTCCCTTTTGCACCATACGAACCTCCATCCCCCTCTCCACCATCTCTTTCTTTCTTCCTTTCTCCTCTCTTCATCATCATCTCCTTCTTCTTCTTTTTCCTTCCTTCTCCCTTTTTCTTTCGTTTTACGTTTTGTTCACCTTCATCATCTTCACTATCTTCTTCTTATTTCTTTCTTCTTCTTCTTCATCGTGTTCTTCTTTTCCATTCTCTCTTTTTCTTTTCTTTTTACGTTTTATTAGCTAAGTTTAGAAATGATTCCTTGAATCTTTGTTGTTCATCATGTTCTTCTTCTTCTTTAATTCCTTTTTTTACTTTTATGCACACCGGCACTGGTTAGCTCTAAGTGTCTGTGTACACAGACGAAAATTGCATATGTACAGACACTTTTGTTTCTACACTGACAACTAGTGTATGTGTACACCGACACTTGCAAACCAATTTTTTCACACCGCCACTTTTTTGTCTACACAGACAACTAGTGTCTGTGTACACCGACATTGGTTTCCGTGCAACATCCTGACAGATCTGAAAACTAATTTTAATCACACCGACAGTTTTATCGAAAGTGTCTGTATTTGTATGGTTTTTGTCTGCGCGAATGACAAATAAATGGGGGTGTAACCATTTTGTCTGGAGATCACCTTTCCAACTCAATAACTTAGTCAATTTTGTTGATTATCAGTATTTAATTTTCATTTTATTTAAAATTTATTAAGTGAACCAGACTCATGTACACCATTATAATTTATTAGAAATTAATCGCTTCCGATATGATTAAGCAAATAAGATAAACAGTTGTATATAGGTGCAATTTCAATGGTACAATTTTAATAGTCAATAAGGCTATTAATTTGTTTTTGAAGGAAAGACTATTGAAAAACTTAACTAAAACAACAGACAAGCTATAGATAGGTACAATGGAACATGGAAAATTATCTTACCCTCATATGAAAGACGTTGAGCTCAAATTGTCAACAATCTCTCGAGCCTAAAAAATGTTTTAAAAGTACATAGAAGCTTTAATTAGTCTCTAAGAGCTGGAAAAGTGAAAACGGTACTAACAAAGGGTTTAATGAAATCACATGATGTATCATTATACCATGTTATTACCATTGCTTTCATAAAATTCAACATACTTGGTCATTTCAGCAAAATAATATCAATCAAGCAGGCTCAATAAGAAAAAAATGTTGGGTGTGTTTCAGAAAAAACGAAGAAATATTAATTAATAAACAAAATAGCTAAAAGAAAACAGAAAATAAGATGGAGCAGCTTTTAGCCAGAGCTCGTGCTACGCACGATGTCCTTAAAACGTATTCGTCGCCTCCCACGGTGCTAGGAGCGTTGCAACGACCGTTTCCCAGGATACGGTGGCTAACGAACGATCGTTTGAGCACACAAACGAAAGTTCCGGCGAACTGGAACACAGTAAGAACACTTAGGAAATTTGGGAGTAGCTGGAAGAGTTTTTAGCTCAAGAAAACGTGAGGAAGGTATTGTGCGTTGTCACCGTGTGTTTGTTGCAAAGCACCTGCCAGCTATTTATAGGAGGATTTGTTGTGTGTTAAATGGAGTGTTAATGGACCTGAACGTTGGACATCAATGACCAGTCCGTTGGGCATTTAATCGTCCATAAACTGTCCATTTAACGCAGCATTAAAAGAGAAGAACGTTGGGCATTAATGGTTGTAACAGAAGAAATGCGCGACAGAAGACCCCAACAGAACACCCCTTGGAGGGTTTCTGTCCGAAGCCAGCAGAACACCCCTTGGAGGGTTTCTGTCCGAAGCCAACAGAACACCTCTTGGAGGGTTTCTGTCCGAAGCCAGCAGGACACCCCTTGGAGGGTTTCTGTCCGAAGCCAACAGAACACCCCTTCGAGGGGTTCTGTTCGAGGCCTTCTGTCCGGAGCACTTCTGGGAAAAAATAAACGTTTCTGGAAGAAAACAAAAATTAACCGTTTCTCTTGAGAGATAGATTTTTGGACAGCATTCGTGTCCACGCACACGAGTCGCGATTTTTCTTCTCCGTTTCAGGATTTGATCGGCAACCCCCCTGCGCGTAAGAGAGAGCCTTTCCCTTTTGGAATCTTAACTCCTTAAAAGAGGCTTCCCTTTATAAGGGGGTGAAAATCCCTTGAGTTTTTCGGTGTGGGATAAAACACACTAGAAACTCATCATTTTTCCCAGTTTTTCCATTTCAACGAGTGAACTTCGAGAATCAATTTCTCATTCACCCGTTATCCGTTTTGAGTGTACCACATATCGAATTGTGGCCCTTAACAAGGACAATCCGAAACCACTTTGACCCGACCCAAATCGGAAGTGGACCTCACTCAAATAATTGCCCCAAAATGGCCATTTAATGCAATTTTTAACACATTTTTCCAACAAAAAATGTGTGTAGTTTGAATTTTCTATGAAACTCCAAAAGGGTTGACCTAGCTTAGAGGATGTTAGGTTATCTGAGGTGTTAAAAGATAATTAGAGTTACAAAAACTAGTCCAACACCGTTCGAATTTCAACGTATTAATGACTATATTACAAATTTTATGAAGGAATGAATTGTTTATCACTTTATCAGTACATGACAACCCGAAGCATGCAGTTAACTCACAAATTAGGACAAGCCCTTACAATAGAGACATGCTTTCACATTTTAACGCTAAACTAAACCACACTACACAAATAACTCTAGCATGGCATGGTTTTCAAACTTTGAAAAATTCAATTATCTAAACTTATCGGGGAGCCATAGATTTCCAAATCATCACAGGATGACCCCAATCGAAATGCAAGTACCACATATGTTCTAACATACAGTCATAACATAAACAATGACAAAGTTCTTATTAATTCTTGTTCTCCGAGGCAAACCAATCAAGAAAAATCATTTTAACTTAAGGATTATTTTTGTCTTACACTAAGTTTCAAACATTC